GCTACTGAGAAGCAAGGCAGAATGAGTTTTTAATCAGCAGTGAATGTACAAAAAATAGGTGCACAAAACGCTGAGAACTTTCCGGACAACCTAATACCTATACGTCCCTAGCCTTTGATACGATGCTGGTCGCTGACCGACGCTGGTAGTCGCTGGTAGGCGCTAGTGGTTGCTTACTTGATATCTAAACTTTCCTACTCGCTGACGCTGATGGGCGCTCGATGCGCTGCTGGTCGCTGCCGCAAAGTAGAAACGCAGCCTTAACGCTGCTCGCCTTTGGACTGCCCAGCTACCGAGCACACGCTGCTCAGCAAACTTGTAAACAGAGTTGACTAAGAAACCTAGATTATACGAGACTTACCTCTTCTTCAACAGAACAAGATATTTTCATATTACGCTTGATTTTCTCCAATAGGGTATAAGGATGTATTAGGGAATCCTGAAGAACACCAGTAGGAATTGTATCGTATCGAACCACCTGAAATAAAGAGCTTCACGGTTCTGGAATATCCCAAACGAAAATGGTGAAATGTCGCTGTGGCCTGAAATGAACGAAAAAAATTAGTTAGGGGTAGCATGGAACTCGGAAGGCTGAGTTGGGATTCAGCCCATTTCCAACTCCATCACAAGCTCCCTTTTCGTGCTAAGCTTTATTAATGAATAATCTCTTGATCGTACCTCAGAACCCTCGGGGAGAAGGTCTTTTTGATCGTTTTTGTTCTCGGTAGCGACCACGGCTGATTTGGCATCCGAGTGACCAGCGCCGTCCCATCCCTTTGGCAACAGAGGCTGAACAGCCAGAGCTCCGAACAAATTGATTGCTGAACTTTGAGAAGCATACGTCCACTTCCGGCGGCTTCATTCTGTAGACAATTATTCCGCCCTCCGACTTCTCAGCGATGGGTTGTACAGCGGGTTGGGCAGGAGATGGTGGTGATGGAAGACCTGTCGTTGGAGTACGCTGAGGTGGCTCTTCTGATGTATCTTGCACTGGTGGCTGAAATAGTTAAATAGAGATTACTTTGGGTTTCTCGATGTACCTAGTAGCGTGTAAAATGCAAAAAAGATTAGGTTATTGGTTTGGGTGGATATGGTGGGTGGTGTTCCCAGCTTTTTCTCCCTTTGGCAGACTGTGGGGTCCGTTCAGTTGACTGGTTGCTCGCTGACCCGTCACTTCTCGTGGACAGGCGCAACTGAGCCAAATATATTAGGTTGTTCGAAAAGTCCTGCGACACTTTGATTGAATTGTTCTAGAAAAAGACCAAAAATCATTTTGGATGTTTTTATCCCTGATTAGTGGAGACTGTCCTCTGGGGTTTCTGCACATGGGTATATCATGACTTTGTGGAAGTTTTCAAAGCTTAAAAGTCCCTCAGAGATCGAGGTACTTTTCGACCTATCCCATATTATGAGTTCCTGTAGGGCCACTCCGCCGTAGTCGAGGAAGCTAACACTTACGTTGTCTTGAGGAAGGATATCGCTTGCCATGGCAGAGGGTAGCTTTTGCATCAGCGCTTCCAGGCTGGACTTATTTAACTCGTAGTTAGGCAATGTATAGGTCGCCCACCAGCACAGAATGACGGCCCTTTACTCAAGCTTCTTGAGGCGCAGCCGAAGGTAACCACCAGTAAGTTGGCAACCTCTCTAGGCTCCACCTGACTGACAACTGCCATGCTTCTCCGCAATCTCGTATCGGAAAATTTTTTTGTGAAGTATGCCTCCCCCACAAATCTCTATCCGCAGACCCCCCCCCCCACAAATCCTATCCGCAGCCTCATCGTGGCGTGGGGGTGAACGGTTTGGACTGTTCCAAAAACGTACCAATGCGGAGGGTGCCACGTCAGAGCCTGGCGAGCTACGCGTGGTTAAATTTCTTCTCGCCGAAAACAGTAACAACTATGGGCCTCATTCCCCTGAAGCTGAGGGAACCACCGACAGGGCGACGTCGGCTGGGACCGCTCGGACGAGGCTGCTAAAATCACAGGGCCAACGGAGATTTGAGTCGCCCAGGACTAGGATGACGATCTGTACTTTCAACGCACGGACGCTTGCATCGGAAGCTCACATCGAAGATCTGATGTTGCAAGCCAGGAAGATCAAGTACGACGTCATCGGACTGACCGAGACGAGGAGGCATCGCCCGCTACACGCCGTATACGAGACTGGAGAAGAACTGTTCCTCGGAACATGCGACAGCAGAGGCGTTGGCGGTGTGGGCGTCCTCGTCAACACGCACTTGGCCATGAACATCGATTCGTACGAAAGTCTGACGACCCGAATCGGACGTTTGCGATTGAGAAGATGTGGTTCAACTCCAGCTTTGACAATCTTCGTCGCCTACGCACCAACATCAAGCTACGACGAGGATGAGCTCGAAGCGTTCTATATGGAATTGGAGAAGTTCTACAAGGAAGATCATACCTTCTTCAAGGTCATCGTCGGTGATTTCAACGCTAAGATCGGACCAAGAAGAACGGCTGAAGAACTTCACATCGGAACTCACGGAACGGAGTGGAATGAGCAGGGTGAAAGGCTGTCTGAGTTTATCATGTCGACCCACACCATCCATGGTAACTCGCAGTTCCAGAAGCCCTACTCTCTACGCTG